ATTTTCTTCCCTTATTCCTTCCTGTCTCTGCTGTTAAGCACAATTATCGGCATAAAAGAGGTTTTTAATACCTATTTTTAGACTGTATTCCAGCCTGGGCAATAGAGCAAGACTCATGTCCTCTCTCCCCCTTTTTCTTTCTTTCTTTAAAAAAAAAAAGAAAAAAGAAAGAAAGAAATGGAATTGCATAGTACGTAGCATTTCCATCTGGCTTCTTTCACTAGCAGAGTAGGTTGGATGTTCATTCATGTTGTGTGCATTGGTACTTTGTCCCCTTCCATTGCTGAGGAGTATTCCAGTGTATGAACGTAGCACTGTGTGTTTGTTTATGCATTTCTTTCTCAGTTGAGGAACATCTGCATTGTTTTGAAACTTCGTGATTATGAATAAAGCCATTATAAATGTTCACATACAGGTTTTCATTGAACACAAGTTTTCATAAAAAAAAAAAAAGAACACGTAAATGTATAAAACCCATTGGTAGAGCAACCACACAAAGTGAGACTCAAGTTATGATTCATCCTGAGGCAAACTGCCCTCTGGTTGTGAAATTAAACTTATGTGCTTCCAAAATACAGTGGTGGGACAGGCATAGGATAAAGTATAAAGTTCACTTGCTCCATCACACCAGCCACATTTCAAGTGCTCACTAGCAGAGGTGGCTAGTGGCTACAGTATTGGGCTCCATTATACTAACATTTTCATCATCACAAAAAGGTTTATTGGGTAGCAATATTTTATAGATAGTTTGCAAAGAAGTAGAAGATTTTTAGAGGGAAGTTATATTCTTTTGGATCTAACACTTTCAATTCTAGGACTCTATCACAATGTAAATACTTTTCAGGGGCAAAGAAAATGTATGTGTATTTATAATGTGTTTGTATATATATAAACTCTTGTAAATACGGACATATATATTTACTGTCATAACGTGGAAAACCTTATAAACAAGATAAATGTAATGTTATAAACAAAATAAATGTAATGTTTTAAACAACATAATTACATCATCCATACCTGAGGAAAACTGCTAAATAAGTATTTACTTCCATACTATAGAAGAGTATGCATCTATTAGAAGCAATAATCTAATCAGAAAAACACTTACAATATGTTGTTCACTTTAAAAAAAAAATAGAGTCAGGGTCTCACTATGTTACCCAGGACTGTTTTGAACTCCTGAGCTCAAGTGATACACCTACCTCACTTCCCAAAGTGCTGGGATTACAGGCGTGAGGCACCACTCCTGGCCTCAATGTGTTGTTCATTAAAAGTCTGTCGGGGGGGAAATAGGGGAGGGACAATGGGGGGTGGGGAGTTGGGGAGGGAGGGATAACATGGGGAGAAATGCCAGATATAGGTGATGGGGAGGAAGGCAGCAAACCACATTGCCATGTGTGTACCTATGCAACAATCTTGCATGTTCTTCACATGTACCCTCAAACCTAAAATGCAATTAAAAAAGCTAGGGTAAAATAATATGAATACTATATACTTATTTATTTATTTGAACCATTTTATTAAGGTATGATTCACATGTAAAATGTTGTACATATTTAATGTATACATCTCAGTGAGTCTGGGGATATATATATACCCGTGAAACCATTATCATTATCAAGGCTATAAACATAGCCATCATCTCCAAAGTTTCTTTGTACCTCCTTTATCATTACTGGTGTGTGTGTGTGTGTGTGTGTGTGTGTGTGTGTGTGTGTGTGGTATGAATGCAAGAGATGAACCCTGTTAGTAAATTTTAAGTATACAATACAGTATTGCTGGCTATAGGCACGTTACTGCATTATTGATCTATAGAAGCTGTTTATCTTGCACAACTGCAACTTTGCATTATTTGACCATCACCTCATTTCATGCTCCCCCTAGGACCTGGAAACTGCCATTCTACTCCTTGCGTCTATGTCTTTAACTATTTTATTCCACATATAAATGAGATGATACAGTATTCATCCTTTTGGGTATGGCTTATTTCACTTGGCATAATGCCTTTAAATATTACATAGTTTCTATACTTCTAAAGACATATCAAAAAACGGAGAAAGAATTATACTTAGTAGTCACATGTGCGAAGGGGGGTGTATTAGGCGAGCGTGCAGGGTTGGAGGATGATGGAGGCTCTCATTTGTTTCTCTATTATCATTCAGGGTTATTTTTATCCTTTGTGATATACATGTATAATTTCCATAAATAAAGAGAAATATGTCAAAGCAGGCTATTTACACAAGGCTCGGGATCCAACACTCAGATGCGACACATCTGTGTTTAGGACACAAATTATACTGTAGCAATGGGAACCGATCAATTAATGTCTTTCTTCAACAAGTTCTATAACAGCCCAAAGAAAGGTGGTTCACAGATGAAAACGATGATAAAATAGAATAGACCCAGAAGATGCATTAAAATCGCCCTCCTCAATTCAGGCTTCTGAGGGTTGCTTGAGAGAAACCAATTTACAGATGGGAAACTGCAATTTCTGGTTACCAACCTGAATTAGGCCCTCAACACACGTGGTGAAACTTCCGTTTTTCCCTAGTCCTCTGTCTCCTGGGTTCTCTTCTTCATCTCTTTCAGCTCTATCAGCCCTACACTCCCAGCGGCTGACGTCACAGAGAAAGCTGAAGCCTTCAGACCAGCTCTCCCTGATTTTCTCCCTGCACTCACAGCTCCACGCCTGCTTCCCGGCTCTTCTGTCCACTCTGCCCCTGCCTCCTGCTCTGCTGCACCCTGGAGGATCTCGCTGCGTCGTCCCCCAACCTCTCCTGGAGGCTGAGCAGGGCTCTAGCAGGGACTCTCTCCTCTAACAAACCCTCTTTGTACCATCAACCTACTTTCTTACTTTTTCTCTCTCCTTCACCCAATTTCTTGAAAGTGCAGTCTAGGTTTGTGATCTCTTTCTAGCCTCCAATGTACATTCCAACCTCCTGGTGTGTGGCTTTGCTCATCGGCAGTGCCCCGAAACAGTTCGCTCTAAAGTTTCTATAACCTCCTTTGTGCTCATTGCAGTGTTTCTGGAACTCTGCTCAGCATCTCACCTGCTGGTCATGACATCGCTCATGATGTGCTTCTGCAATCACCTGTTATCCCGCCTTTCTTTTATACCAACATTTATTCCTTCACAGGTCATTGCAAGCTTTCCCTCAGCCTGACCTCAAATCCTACTGTTCCTGAGTGCTCCAATCTGGTCCTTCTCTGCTCATCCCTCACCATCCCATGAGGCATCATCATCAACTTTTGTGGCTTCAATCAGCACCACTGTGCAGAGGACACCAGTTTAGCTCTAACTTAGACATCTCAGCCCAGAGGATGCTGCCCACTCATCTGACTGCAGTTGAGAAACCTCTTCTTCAGTGCTCCTCCACTGGCACCTGGAGATCTACATTTTGCAGGTAGAGCTTGTCATATTTATTTTCTTCATCTAAATCTACTCATTTTGATGTTTTTCTTCCTTGAGTGGTTAGAACCACGACATACACATACACCTAGGCCAGAATCATCAACATTCTTTTTCATTTTTGCCTCTTTCATTCTGGGAGAATCCATTCAAGCATTAAGTGCAGCAGAGTCTAAGTGGTTTTAAATCTCTTGAAGCGGTCAACTTTTGTCCTTCCCCAAAGAGATGACAGAGTTGACTGGGAAAGGACACAGGCTCTCTGGGCAGAGCTGCCTAAATCTTCACAGAGATTGATTGAACTGATACCACCTTCTGAACCATGGCACAGTTTTCACGTCCTTGTGTGCAAACTACGGGTGATAATAGGGGTTCCTACAACCTAGGGTCATTGTGAAGATTTAATGGGCTGATTTTTGCAGAGCATAGAGGGATGTGTAGCGTGAAGGAAGCCAGTCTTCCATAAGTACTGTTGATTATTGGCCCTAAGGCCATGCTTTTTGCCAACAGACAACATTGCTTGGTGCAAGAACTTTTAGCATAGCCTCCCTGACTCACGCCCAACTCAAGGGTTTTTTTTAACCCTTCCTTGTAATTCAGCCAGGTTGAATATCCCAGGAACAAAACTGAAAATATTCCTCTCCTATCAGAGCGTGATTTGCCCTTTTTTGGACAAACCCTTCCATTGTCTGAGCCAGAGGCTTCTTCCTTTGTGGAGTGAGCCTGATTACTCGACTAGGAGCACAACCAGCTATCTACCTTTCTCAGAAAGCACCTGGGTTTGCTCTTCTAACAGGCGCTTTTTCTAGATTCTTCCCACCATTGCACATGGACACACACAAATCACACTGACCCCTGGAATCCCAAAGACAAACAGCAGAAAGCACCCCCAGGCAAAATGAGCTCAGAGCCTTCCTGTTGCCTGGGTGCACAGTGCAGGCTCCGGGGCCTTCTCTAGAAAGAGGCCGCTGCTGAAGTCAGAGGGAGTGCCCAAAGTGGGGCTGGGGGTGTGGAGTCTACACCGATGCTCTCAGGCCGTTTCCACTCTTGCTGGTTCTGATGCTCCTTTCTTTTGCCGCAAGCAACCCTACTGGAAAACCGGGAAATGTCCAACAATGAAGTTAGGACAGTGGCCCATAAAACATCCGATTCCAACCTGCATCCTAAGGTGTAAAGACACAGACTAAAGGCACAAGATACAGTGAGCCTTTAATGCGTTCCCCTGCATTCTTCCTATTTCTCTATTCCTTCTCCATGTCCGGTGGGGTTCTCTACCCTCTCTCCATCCCACGTGCCAATAGCCCCTCTTTTCTCTTTCATTCTCGCCACGTTTCCCTCCTTTCTTCCACGTGCCCCAACGGTACCGCCCAGAAAACGAACTAGATGCGTTGGACAGGGCACGCGCGCATTAGGAACGCCAGCTAGGCGGAGCCCTGGGATCCTGGGGGCGGGGGGGTCCCCGCAAACCCTGCGGGGCGAGCAGGGTTTTGCCCACCAGCGCCTCCAGCGGCGCCCCCCAGAAGTCTGACTAGTGAGGCCTGAGTTGCAGGGACTGAGTGGCAGACTGAGGCTGAGTAGGGAACAGACCATGAGGCCAGCGCAGACCTTACTCCCCCAACGCCGACTGTCCCTCGTGCTGGTTCTGACAGTGCTCCTTCTTGACTCTCTTGGCGAAGATGTGATTTTTCATCCTGAAGGGGAGTTTGACTCGTACGAAATCACCATTCCCGAGAAGCTGAGCTCCCGAGGAGAAGCGCAGGGTGTGATCAGTCCCGTGGCCTACCTACTGCAGCTGAAAGGCAAGAAGCGTGTCCTCCATTTGTGGCCCAAGAGGTTTCTGTTGCCCCGACATCTGCGCGTTTTCACCTTCACGGAACGTGGGGAACTGCTGGAGGATCGCCCTTATATACCCAAGGACTGCAACTACATGGGCTCCGTGGAAGAGTCTCCAGACTCTAAAGCTACTATAAGCACGTGCATGGGGGGTCTCCGAGGCATATTCAACATAGATGCCGAGCATTACCAAATTGAGCCCCTCAAGACCTCTCCCAGTTTTGAACATGTCGTGTATCTCCTGAAGAAGGAGCAGTCTGGCAGCCAGGCTTGTGGTTTAAGTGATGATGAACTAGAATGGCAGATGGCCCCTTATGAGAATCAGGCTAGGCTAAGGGACTTTCCCGGATCCTATAAGCACCCAAGGTATTTGGAATTGGTCCTGGTCTTTGATCAAAGTAGGTACAGGTTTGTGAACAGCAATCTTTCTCAAGTCATACATGATGCCATGCTTTTGACTGGGATTATGGACACCTACTTTCAAGATGTTCGTTTGAGGATCCACTTGAAGGCTCTCGAAGTATGGACGGATTTTAACAAAATACGCGTTGGATATCCAGAGTTAGCTGAAGTTTTAGGCAGATTTTTGATATATAAAAAAAATGTATTAAATGCTCGGCTCTCATCAGATTGGGCACATTTATATCTTCAAAGAAAATTTAATGATGCTCTTGCGTGGTCATTTGGAAAAGTCTGTTCTCTAGACCTTGCTGGATCAGCGAGTACTTTACTAGGTACAAATATCCTTGCCCCTGCCACCTGGTCTGCTCACGAGCTGGGTCATGCCGTGGGGATGCTACATGATGAACAATACTGCCAGTGCAGGGGTAGGCTTAATTGCATCATGGGCTCAGGACGCGCTGGGTTTAGCAATTGCAGTTACATCGCTTTTTTTAAACACGTCTCTTCAGGAGCAACGTGTCTAAATAACATCCCAGGACTTGGTTATGTAGCTAAGAGATGTGGCAACAAAATCGTAGAAGACAATGAGGAATGTGACTGTGGTTCCCCAGAGCAGTGTAATAAAGATCGGTGTTGCCAATCAAATTGTAAGTTGCAACCAGGTGCCAACTGTAGCATTGGACTTTGCTGTCACGATTGTCAGTTTCGTCCATCTGGATATGTTTGTAGGCAGGAAGAAAATGAATGTGACCTTGCAGAGTACTGTGATGGGAATTCAAGTTACTGCCCAAATGACGTTTACAAGCAGGATGGAACCCCTTGCAAGTATGAAGGCCGTTGTTTCAGGAAGGGGTGCAGATCCAGATATATGCAGTGCCAAAGCATTTTTGGGCCTGATGCCAGGGAGGCTCCCAGTCAGTGCTATGATGCAGTTAACTTAATAGGTGATCAATTTGGTAACTGTGAGATTACAGGAATTCGACATTTTAAAAAGTGTGGCAGTGAAAATTCAATATGTGGCAGGCTACAGTGTATCAATGTCGAAACCATCCCTGATTTGCCAGAGCATACGACTATAATCTCTACTCATTTACGGGCAGAAAATCTCATGTGCTGGGGCACAGGTTATCATCTATCCATGAAACCCATGGGGATACCCGACGTGGGTGTGATAAATGATGGCACCTCCTGTGGGGAAGACCGGGTGTGTTTTAAGAAAAATTGCGTCAGTAGCTCAGTCCTGAAGTTTGACTGTTTGCCTGAGAAATGCAACACCCGAGGTGTTTGCAACAACAGGAAAAACTGCCACTGCATGTATGGCTGGGCACCCCCATTCTGTGAGGAGGTGGGATATGGAGGGAGCGTTGACAGCGGGCCCCCAGGACTGCTAAGAGGGGCGATTCCCTTGTCAATTCGGATAGTGTCCATCATAATGTTTCGCCTTATTTTATTAATCCTTTCCATGGTTTTTGTGTTTTTCCGGCAAGAGATAGGAAACTATTTAAAACCTAGTGAGGAAAAGATGCCACCATCCGAAGCAAAACCTGGACAGGAAGAATCTAAAGCAAAAGCCGAACAGGGAGCTTCTAAAGCAAAAGCCGGACAGGAAGAATCTAAAACAAAAACCGGACAGCAAGAATCAAAAGCAAAAACTGGACAGCAAGAATCAAAAGCAAAAACTGGACAGCAAAAATCAAAAGCAAAACCTGGGCAGGAAGAATCTAAAGCAAAAACCGAACAGGGAGCTTCTAAAGCAAAAACCGGACAGGAAGAACCTAAAACAAAAACCGGACAGCAAGAATCAAAAGCAAAACTTGGACAGCAAGAATCTAAAGCAAACGTTGAAAGTAAACCACCCAAAGCAAAGAGTGTCAAGAAACCAAAAAAGTAACCGGCAATCCACACTCATTCAGTCACAGAGGCTCACTTATTTAGCCAGCTAATCGGTAAACCAAAGGCTTTTCATCCTTCTCCCAATAATTTTTTACTTCAATTTTTCTCACTAGCTTTGATTAGCAAATAAATGACATTCTTGTTTAGGAAACCAACCAGTGCATTCTGCTTCTCTAGTATTCATTCGCCCCCCAGCTTGTGATCAAGTTGTGGGTATCTTGAAAATCACGCTCTCATGGCTTTTCCACCCACTAAAGCTCTGAAAGTAGTGAGTTTCCTAGAATTACCGTGGTATTTAAAGTACAGCCTTGTTTCTCAGAATCCCAGGGAGCAAAGCAATTGTCTGCCTCTCCCTCTGCCTCCCCCAACTTGATCCACGTGAACATCCGCGCCTACACCCATGGTGATCAATAAATGCTGACAACACATTTTGTGAATAGAAAATGTTTCTCTAAGCATTTTCAGTATTTGAGGTGATCTCAGATGGGTTAAGGACACCGGTCTGTCCTAACTCTTGCATTGCAGCACAGTGCAATGATGACAACATGATACCAGGCCCTGGCAGTGTCCCGGAACAAGGCTGTTAACAAAATTTTTGTGTCTGCAGTGTCTGCCTGCAGGGGCAGTTCTCCTGTGAGTGCGTGTGTGCTCAGGGGCACCTGGCCCTGTGTTTGCTACTCTGCTAAGTAGAACAGAGGTCCTTTGACTCCCAAGGACCCCCGCACCTCTGCCTCCACCTCTTCCTTCCCCTTTGCACAACACTTTGGGTGGGAGGAGAGGACTGAGGGGTACCTTAGCAGGAGTCAGTGTCCACTTCTTATATCCAAGTGGGGTTTGTCCCTCTCAGATTTGTGTCAGCCAAAGGTTTTTGGTCTTGTTCTAGGCTGGGTCTTCCTGCTGTTCTCTCATCTTACCGCAGTGCTCCCCTGCCTCCTCAGGTAACGCGGCAGGCCTGCAGTACCGCGTCCCAATCTCCTGTTTCTTAGTCACACTTCTAATTAAAGACAAACTTGGGGCAGTCTCATAGGGAAGGTTGGTCCCAGCCTTTTTTTCTCAGCATGTGTGCTGGGAGCATGCTAAGAACTTCATGTGTGTTATTAACATGCATACTGCTGAAAATAGCTCCATGAGATAGGTGTCATTATTTTCTAATTTTACAAAAGAGAAACTGAGGCACTGCAAGGTTAAATGACCTGCTCAAAGTTCCACAGTTAATAAGTAATGACATTATTCAAGAAAACTCTATATGAAAATTAGGAAATTCAGTTGAAAGGATTTATCTAAAAATCATAAGGATATTTACACATTAGGATTTTTAAAAAATTGATTGTGATAAATATCATATTGACCATCTTAACCATTTTTGTGTTCAGCAATGTTAAGAACATTGACATGGTTGTGCAAATCATCTCCAGAACTCTTTTCATTTTGCAAAACTGAAACTCCATACCCATTAAGCAACAATTCTCTATTCTTCCCTCCCTTAAACTGTCCCAACAAATATCCTATTTTCTGTATGAATTTGGCTAATCTAAGTACTTCATATAATTAGAATCTTATAGTCTTTGCCTTTTTGTGATTGGCTTATTTCATTTAGCACATCTTTAGGGTTCATCTATGTCGTAGTATTTTGTGTTGGAATTGCCTTCTTTTGTAAGGCTGAATGATATTTAGATGTGTCTGTGTACCACATCGTGTCTAACCATTCTTCACTGATGGGCACTGGGGTTGCTTTCACATTTTGCTTATTGTGAGGAATGCTGCCATGAACATAGGTATACAAACATCTGTTCACATCTCTGCTTTCAATTCTTTTGGATATACATCCAGAAGTGGAACTGCTAGATCATAGGGTAGTTCTATTTTTAATTTTTTAAGGACTTGCCATACTGTTTCCCCTAACAGCTGCATCTTTTTATATATTCCCACTAGCAGTGCACAAAGGTTCCAATTTCTCTACCTCTTCCCCAACACTAGTATTTTCTGGTTGTTAGATAATAGCCATCTTAACGGGTGTAACATGGTGTCTCATTGTGGTTATATTTGCATTTCTCTAATGATTAGTGATACTGTGCGTCTTTTCTTGAGCTTATTGACCATAAGATTGTCTTTTTTGGAGAAATGTGTATTCAAATCTTTTGCCCATTGTTTGAGTTGTTTGGTATTTTTTTTTGTTAAATTGTAGGAGCTCTTTAGATATTCTGGATATTAACACTTTATCTAGATATATGATTTGAAGATATTTTCTCCCATTCTGTGGGTTGCTTTTCCATTTTGTTGATATTGTGCTATGATGCACAGAAGTTTTTGATGTTTCAGTCATGAAGTCTTTGCCCATGCATATGTCCTGAATGGTGTTGCCTAGGTTTTCTTCTACAGTTTTTATGGTTTTAGGTCTTATGTTTAAGTCTCTAATTCATCTTAATTTTTGTATAAGATATAAGGAAGGGATCTAGTTTCGGCTTTCTGCATATAGCTAGCCAGTTTTACCAACGTCATTTATTTAATAGGGAATTCTTTTACCATTGCTTGTTTTTGTGAGGTTTGTCAAAGATCAGATGGTTGTAGATGTGTGGTGTTATTACTGAGGCCTCTGTTCTGTTTCATTGGTCTATATATCTGTTTTGGTACCAGTATACCACGCCATTTTTGTTACTGTAGCCTTGTAGTATAAAGTCGGGTAGCATGATGCCTCCACCTTGTTCTTTCTGTTTAGGATTGTCTTGGCTATGCAGGCTCTTTTTTGGTTCTGCATGAAATTTAAGGGAGTTTTTTCCAGTTCTGTGAAGAAAGTCAATGGTGGCTTGATGGGGATAGCATTGAATCTATAAATTACTTTGGGCAGTATGGCCATTTTCACTGTATTGATTCTTCCTATCCATGAGCATGGAATGTTTTCCCATTTGTTTGTGTCCTTTCTTATTTCCTTGAGCAGTGGTTTATAGTTATCCTTGAAGAAGTCCTTCACATCCCTTGTTTTTCTATTTCAGCAGAAAACTACCATTGGCATTTTGATAGGCATTAAATTAAATCTGTAGATTACATTGCTTTGGGTAGTACTGACATCTTAATAATATTATGTTTTCCAATCCGTGAGCATGGATATTTTTCCATTTATTTGTGTCTTAAATTTACTTCAATTCAGTGATGTTCTGTAGATTTTAGCATCTGAAACTTTTACTTGTGTAAGTTTATACCTGTTTTGTTATTTTTGGTGCTACTATATGGCATTGTTTCTTTAATACCTTTCGAGATTGTTGTACAGAAGCACAAGCAATTTTCGTGTATTGATTTTTTATCCTGCAACTTTGCTGAATTTGTTTATTAGTTCTAACAGTTTGTGTGTGTGGAATCTGTAGAGTTTTCCACGTAAAAATTATGTTATCTTTGAAAATAGGTAATTTTACCTCTGCCTTTCCAATTTGAATGCTTTCATTTTTTTTCTTGCCTAATTGCTCTCATTTGAACTGCCAATACTTTGATAAGTAGAAGGGGTGAAAGCCAGCTTGCCTGTCTTACTTCTGATCATAGAGGAAAGGCTTTCAGGTTTTCACCATTAAGTATAATACTCGCTGTGGGCTTTTCATATACAGCATTTACTGTGTTGAATCAATTTTCTTTTATTACTTTTTTGAGTGTTGTAATCATAAAAGTGTGTTGAATTTTGCCCACTATTTTTTCCTGTATCAATTGATATGATCAAAAGTTCTTGTTTTCTATTTTGTTAACACAGTGTATTATTCATTTTCCTATGTTGAGTCATCATCTACACATTCCAGGAACAAATTTCACTTGGTCAGGCTGTATAACCCATTCAATGTTCTGTTGAAGTCAGTATGTTAGCATTTTGTTGAGGATTTTTGCAGCTATGCTAATCAGAGATGTTGTCCAATAGCTTTTATTTATGGTAATTTATTGTCTGTCCTTTGTATCAGGATAATACTGGCCTCATAAATTATTGTTTCCATCACTTCAATTTTTTTGGAGGCCTTAGAGAAGGATTCGTTTTAATTTTTCTTTAATTATTTGGTAGAATTCACCAGTGAAGAAATCTGGTGCTGGACTTTTCTTTGATGAGAGGCTTTTAATTATGGATTCAGTCTACTTGCTAGTTATTCATCCATTCAGTTTTTTCCATATATTCGTAATTCAGTCTTGGAAGGTTGTGTGTTTCTAAGAATTTATGCATTTTATCTATGTTTTTCAATTTGTTGGCAGCCAATTGTTCATATTAATCTCTTAAAATCCTTTTTATTTCTGTAAAATTGTAATGTTCCCTCCTTCATTTCTGATTTTAGTTATCTGGGTCTTCTCTTTTAGTCATCTAGAAGGTTTGTATATTTTGTTGATATTTTCCAAGAACCAATTCTTGGCTTCATTAATTTTCTCTATTGATTTTCTGTTTTCTAATTCATTTGTCTCTCTAGTATTTCCTTCTACTAGCTTTGGGTTTAGTCTTTTTCTTCTACTTCTAAATTAAGATTTTTTTATTTGATATGGTTCTTTTACTTAACTTACATTTTCCTCTGGCACTGCATTTGCTATAGTCCATAGTTTTGGGATGTTGCGTTTACACTTTTATTTGCCTCAAAATATTTTCTAATTTCCTTTACGGTTTATTCTTTGGCATTTATTCTGTAGAAAAATGTGTTCTTTAATATCCACTTATCTGTTAATTTTCTACTTTTCTTTCTGTGATTGACTTTTAGTTTCATTCTATTGTAATTGGAAAAGATACTTTGTATGATTTTAATCATTTAAAATTTTTTAAGACCTGTTTTGTGGCCTATCATATGGTCTATTCTGGAAATATTCCATTTGCATTTGACAAAAATTTGTTTTCTGCTGTTATAGCATGAGGTGTTCTGTGTAAGTCTGTAAAAATCCATTGTCTATAAGTCATGTTTAAGTCCTTTTTTCATTATCAATCTTTTGACTGGTTGTTCTATCCATTGTAAAAGTAAGGTATTGAAACCTTTAGCTGTGATCGTACAGCTATTTTCCCCTCAACTGTGTCAATGTTTGCTTCATATGTTTTGGAGTTGATATTTGGTGCATATATATTTATGATTATCATTTCTTCTTTGTGAAATTTAATTAATACATGTCCTTCTTTGCACCTTGTAATGCTTTTTGACATAAAGACTATTTTGTCTAATATAAGTATAGCTACCTGATCTCTTTTGCTTACCATTTGCATGGAATATTTTTTCTAACTTTTCACTTTTAACCTATATGTGTCCAAAGATCTAAAGTGAATTTCTTGTAGAGAGCATATACTTGAGTCCTATTTTCTTATCCTGCCAATATTTGCCTTTCATTGGAAAGGAATTTTTCCAGATGTTTACTTTTAAAGCAATTACAGTCATACATCACTAACAATTGAGATACATTCTAAGAAAGGCATCTTAAGGTAATTT